TGTATCCGACCTTGTCCTCTTTTGATGTTGCGCTTGACTTTTGGAGGATGACAAGGACATTGACATTTGACAAGGATGGAGGTGCAGCACAGCCAACCCAACCGCCAAATAAGAAATAAACAACCGATAATTACCCCCAATCTTTAGTCGATCGTTTGCCCGAAAAAAACACGCATAATTTCACATTCAATATCGTCAAAGACAGCCATTTAATTGGCTTTTGTGGCCGTTGCCTCGCTCTTTATCTCTTAAATCTGGCAATTTCGGAGGCCTTAACGCGTCTCTTCCCATGTCCAAGTAACAGATATATTCATAAATTTGACGCTGCTGCTGCTGCTGCTGCTTAATAAGTCGCATACGGAATTGGCTGAAATATACAGTAGTGCGATGGTGCCGGATTTCCAAATTTTTCCCAGATTTACAACTGTCTCTGATAGATGTACAAAATCTAGACGATAGTGGTGGAAATATGAGCAATATGAACCGTTGTTTACCCCAACAATAGGCAGTTTTTAGGCCCCTTAATTGCAACGTTTTACGTTATCCGTTATTCTGAGCATGCGCATTAGTAAGGAAATAACCGTTTACGTTATTAGAATATGACGTGTTCCTTCGTTTACGTACGAGTAGCGGTAACGTTAATAACCATCACATTAAAAAGCAGAACGACGGTGTTGACATATTTGACTTATTTTTGATATTATTAATAGAATAAGAAATCTTTGGAAATTTAAATAAGACTTTTTCATTGATTATTTTCGCTATTATTACGTAATTACCGATTTTATGTAAAAATTGTTTGGGCAAATTTGAACTTTGGCAACACTACTAACATCGCACGGACAGGTTCGAACTTCTAACCCATAACCTAACTGTTTGATTTTGAATTTTTCTTTAATATCTTCGCATTATGTTCGTTCTGAAACCTAAAATTGAGAACGCAATCTCTGGGCTCAATATTTTCCAAATTAAAAATAGCTAGATAAAGACAGCCTCAATGTCTTCTTCCATCTTAGCGACTTTTTGTTTAATGACAACACAAACTTAAACTAGCTTTGAAACTTTTCCAAACAAAACGGAATAAGAAAACAATAAAGTGAGGTTAATTTTATTAAGAGTGCAACGAACGCACTGAACGTTATTTGCCTGAACACCTTATTTTTTAACACTGCGCATGAGCACAATAATGTTTAGCACTCTCTAATACTGCTCAAGAATCATCAAATTGAAATGACAACTTGAAGAATTGACAGGAAATGTCAACATGCGTAGACAAACCAAATCAGTAAATAATTTCATTGGCTGATAACAACTGACAGGCGGCTGTCGTCAGCACCCGACCGGGATAAGCGCGAAAACGACAACAAAAGAACAGCGCCAGGCACGTAAAATATTAGACATTACGGTGTTACTTATCATGAAGTCAAACTAGCCAAGTAAATGAGACTGGCAAAGGTCATCGATGGCGATTTTTTCGCGCAGGTGTTCGCTGGTTATCGGATTTCCAATTGCTCCGCTGCGAGTAAATTGTTTAGTAAAATCGCGTTGGCGCCCCCATTTTTGTCCCGCAAAAATGCGTTTGAAAGTCATCCAGTGTCAAGTTGACAGGAATCAAAGGTTGCCATCTAGCGGGGTTTCCACGCAACTAACATAGCGATGATAGACTCCTATAGACAGGGAAGTGTTTTGTTAATATAGAGTTTCTGTTTCAGGACGAATGTCGATCCGACTCGACCAGGTGGATCGGGGCACCTCGACCAGGAGTTCCCTTGTCCCCTACAGCACCAGAGGTAAAGTACTGTGCGCGGTAAAACGACGCCAATGGGCCAAATTGTTTGGCAAAAGAAAAAGTGTCAAGGTAGACAATAATGGGTCTTGCATGCGCCTAACCGGCGAAAAACGCTTCTTCTTCACCGCAACACGCCCGCTGCGGCATCATTAATTGCTTTTTTCCTGATGTTTTCAAACTCGTTAAACAACAACGCACATCCGGCCTCGGCTTTTTCCCATTGTCATTACTGTTACTCCGCCACTTCTCTAATGGACCGAAGGAATCTCAAATCGAAGAAATTTCGATTCGGTACATGCCCAACAGAAGGGCAAGTTGATGTTGTTATCTGATCGGTAACAAAGAAACCGCCGTTTTTTCTTGCTGCTCTCCGTCAGTTCCCAGAAAACCTTGCAAGTAGGCAACTGCAATTAAAAATAAATCGGCAATCTAATGATGATTGACAAAGAGCTTTGTGTTAATTAGAAGTAGGATAATAGTAATTAACCAGCTTTGTTAGAAGGTAAGATCGTTAATGTGTAGGATTGCTAATGGATAAAATAAAGTATTGTGCAATGTGAGCGCGCGAATAGGTAGGTAAACGGAAAAATGCCACCAGTCACCACGCGTAATGCTCGAATGGGACCATTGGTGCAACAATAAACTCCTTCCCAGTGACCGACATGTTGACATTTCACTTCAACAGTACTCGAATGTCATAAACGTCAAACTGACATTTGCCTAACCAACTAATGAACGGAAAAAGCGCAACTGGTCCTGGTCCCGCCCTGTACAATCTAATCAGCAGACGTTTATGTCGTGTTTTGTAACAAATCATATGTTTATCGGCGAGCCGCGTGAGAATCAATAGGCGGCGGTTTATTTAAATTGATGAAGCACTTTATTGATCGTTTCGACATCTATTTCGGCGATTAAAGCCCGTGTCCCATGCATAGGTTTATACACGATCGTACGATGATACGAAAGTGTGTCTATTGGTTGGAGATCTGATCTGAACGAATTGACAGATCTCCAACCAATAGAAACACTTTCGTACCATCGTATCATCGTACAAACGGATGCATCGTACAAACAGATACACGATGGTACGAAAGTGTTTCTATTGGTTGGAGATCTGTCAATGCGTCTGTCGTCGGACGAACTGACAGATCTCCAATCAATAGAAACACTTTCGTACCATCGTATAAACGGATGCATGAGACACGGGCTTTAGTTGTCAAAGTCCTCCGAGTAAGAATGGGAGGAACCGCTCTATCGATAATTATCGACCGGATTAGACTGTGGCCGCAAATGAATCCGAAATAAGCCACTATTTATAGAGGATGACGGCCCCGACAGTTTGGAAAAAGCACAATCCCGTGCAGCGTCTTCTGCCGCACGTTTGCCATCTGCCACGGCCACATAGAATTATCGACTTAACTGTGTACGGGATAATTATGATAGGGAAGCGCTTCTTCAAATCTCTTCAGGCCGGCCGAACGGATGGCTATCGTTTGCACTCTCCATGTACGTGGTGGCAATAAATGTCGCGATTACATCGGCCCTAAATCAACCGGCGATTATCGTAACTGAAGTACTCAAGTAGAAAAGGTCGGAAACAAGCAGGCGCAGAAAATTCAAAATGGCGCCGGGATTTACGTCAAATAGGTACTGGTGAATATTTGACATATGCGATGACAGCACAGTCACTGGAGCCATCTAGTGACAGTATCGACAGCAAAAACTGCCACCGTTTCCAATGTTCAATGCTAGCAGAGCTGGTGGAGAAATAAACATTTCATTTTATTACCTTGTCCGACGGTGGCAGTAAAATTAATTATTATTGATATCAAGTACAAAAACGGCCCATTTAGGAGCTTCTCGGTATCAGCGCGGTCGCGGCCAGCCATAATGCATCTGATGCGAAGCGCAAACCCGACCGGCTCCCGTTTTATATTATAACCAAGCTAAACTATATTATAACCAAGCTGTAGCTGTCAACAGTGTCAAACTGTCACAAAACTTTTACCAGTCAGAACAAGACGCTTTGCATCTCCGACACCAAAACGTTGGCTTGCGCAATCAAAATCAACATTATAAATAATGGCGGCAATCAATCTTGGGCATCCCGTAAAAATGAAATATTAGGCACCGCCCATACGAAAACTACTTAAAAACGTAATTTTAATTAGACAGTCGTTAGTTTGGGTAAAAGTTTACCAATTAGGCAATTTAATGGCGAGCTATAATCGAAAGCTGAACCAAGATTAAGTGGATTTGCGATTTTTTCTCAGCCTGCCACAGTCGAGAATTGACACTAATACAAACGAACAGCGTTGTCAGATGTACTTTCAGAAACAAAAACATAAATTCAAGACAGTTAATTGACGATTAACACAGACAGAAGTGACAACTGTCAACCCCTGAACCCCAAACGCCATTGAACGGGCACAATTAATGGCATCAATCGAGCAAATGATGTGCGACTAAACGGTCAAGATAAATCATGAGCAACGATCTAGACCATCAGCCTTAAACACGATATGACATATCTGGGATCTAAACACGCTCAGATCATTAACAAACATGCACTTTCGAGCGGCCACTACGTCTTCGAGACACTCCCGAGATGACATGCGCCAACTGCATGACTGTCGGTTATTAGAAGCAGTTTTATTCATTTTTCATTTTTTCGCACGCTCTTTCCCACTCTCTCGCGCTGTCATTTTTACGAAGGCGCAACATTCATTTTAATTGCGCGCATCAACGACTCACGATGGCGTTGACGGGTAGTTCATTAATTATCTTCATTTGCGCGATTTAGAATCAAAAGGGCAAACACCGTTCCCAACTGAGTTCATTAGCGATGCCACAATGGGAAACGGCAACGCCGCTGATGGCTAGTAGAAGAATCTCTGTGCGGATGACACAACGCTAATTGCTCAACCGACACCGCACCCGTTTTAACTGCGCCACCGGCTGAGAATCGCACAGCAAAAATTGGCGCTTTGGCCAAATTTATTCATTACTATTATATTTTCTCTTTCCTGGGTTTCAGTCAAAATGTGAAATGAAAATGTTCATATCGTTTATTTCATAAAACGTTTCGGCGAGACAACAGCGCCATCATCAGATTTAAAATTCAACACAAACCCATTATTGGGAAACATTGGATTATTTTTAGGCATCCAAGCCTTTGCAACCCGGGAAAGAAAAAATCTAATAACAATGGGACGCAGTCAGGAACATAAATCACAATTTATTCATAACATATTTCAAATTAGATGGCCAGTGATGTAAGCGATCGTTCCGATTGGGAACAGCCGATAAAAAATTATGCCGATGATAACTGATATTTGACTTGTAGATCGCGATGTTCGGAAAGTCGGATTCTTGCCGCATCATTTGCCATCCGATTGACAAACTTTTACAAAATCCGTTGCGTAACTGACCAACAAAAAAATTCAAATAAAATGGTTTCAGGCAGAAGGACCTCCCGTCCAAATGGAGCCGGTGGACCTCAGCGTCAAAACGCCATCTGCACTGCCCAAATCACCACCTCAAAAGCTGAAAAATCCAGCGCCCTCTCACAAAGTGCACAGCAAACCACCAGGTAAGTTGAATTCTTGTCACAGTGACGTTACGGTGTCAACAAGCTAGCAGGGGATGTTGGTTGTCAACGCACTTGACTTTAAAGGGTGTCAAAGTTGTGTCAAAGCTGACAGGCGAACAACAACCGAGAAATCGGACAGTTTGGGAGATTTGACGGTGTTCTCGCATAAAAATCACTGTCGTGCCCTAATTTATAGCGATTTGAACTGGTTTTTTGTGGCGCTGTCGGTTGGCTGCTAACAACCGGAAACCCGCGCGAATATCTGAAGATCTAAATAATGTGGCTTATTTAATCCGCAGGCACCCACGGAATAACAAACGACTAAATTATAATTACGGCGCTCTTTGTTGCAAGCCGACGGTTCCATTTGTTTAAACAATTAGCTGCGACTGAGGCAACTGTATATTTTGCATGTCCCGATGGCTCCCCTGATAACAACCACACAGATAACAACGGCCGTTATAAACCAGTCCGGTCCAGACATCGGCTGCCAACAACACATGACACAACTTGACGTAGTGACACAACATGGCGGCCATTGGCAACTGTCACCGAGGTGGCACATTCAGTCAATAGCAGCTGTCACTGAAAAATGACAGATGCATTAAGTGCGACTGTAACGGTGCTGGGGGCCCTAATGGGTACCAATTTTTTACGGAAACGAAAGGCGCCTGATAGAACATTGGTGCCACGCTGCGCCGCACGAATAAAACATGCATTTTGTTCACTTTGATAAAGTGGACGTGTGTAATGGTGCGCCCGAAAACGGCAACTCGAATTTATTCACGCTGATATATCAAAAACCTACAAGTATTTCGTACTTGAAACCGGTGGGCGGACGGTTCGGGCTTTTGTTTTACGACCGGGTGCGTAGGACAGTGTCGCACTTGTTTAACCTCGTCCCGGCATGCAAATATTCAAGTTCAAACGACAGCGTCACCGCCTGGAAAAGGAAATTCCCATCAGTCCTAATGGCAACGTTGTAGCAGTGATTGTTTGACAGGAGGTAATTTCGCGAAAACTGTCAAAGATTGCAGGTTATGTCACGAAGGAAAAGTAACTCAGGTGTTCGTAAGGCGCATCGCATAAATTCCCAGCCCAGCCAACAAACCGTGGTCTTTTTCAATTGTTCCAGAGCAATTATCAATTAACAACAACTCCAATTTGCATTTCCGCCAAGATTGCAGTGCGCCATTCACCCGATTATTGTTTAAAACGTTTTTTCTTTCTCCCATCCAAGTCGACGAATCGAATTCAGTTTATTTGGCTTGGGCAGGGCGTGAAATGCGCCTTTCGCAATCGAGTAGGATTCTCGCTATTCATCCGATGATATTAAGACATGGAACAAGTAAAAACGCGAAACATCACAAAACAATAAAGCCCAACACACCTACCATTCCGGTGTATTCGCGGCCGCGTTAAAATTAAAATGACACTCCCTATTTTGATTGTAAATGGCCATTTTCCTCGCAACAATGTATCGGCGTCCTTTTCATCATCATCGTTGTTCTTTCATTTTTTTTCAATTGAGGAAGAACAATAATTGGAATGCGACCAATTCGTCAAAGGAAAAAATCGCGCTCGATTCCTCGTGAGTGGGCGTGCCGGCCAAAGTGTCACAAAACAAGAAAACTGCCCATAAAACAATGACAGGGCACGTGAACGGATATACTGGATAGATCAAAGCCGATATCAAAATCCATCAGAACAAAGAGTTTTGCCATATTCAATGTGGGCGTGACATTTAGGCGATTTTTTTCCACCACATCTCTAGTGATGACATGGGCGTGTTAATATGGCTGCCTGACGTCTGTCAGATTAGTCCCAGACCGGTGGTTTCACGCTCTGGATCTGGCAGCTGTCACATAGCAACCGCGCACAATTAATTGGAGAAAACGACGTTATTCAATCCCATTGAGTTGGCAACAGTCCGAATGCGAATTTTCCCCTAGAGCCTACACGCAATAAATACACGTTTACGCATAAGGACAATAATAGGTACATTTGAATGTAACTGCGGTACTATCGCGTATATCTTGTGTACGCTGAAGCATAGAACAGACAGATAGATATATCTGTATGCAATATTTCGTGATTTTAATCTAAAAATTAATTAAATTCGCTTTAAATAGAAATAAATGCCTTATTGGGCAAGCGGCGCTTTTTTACGATATTTCGGTCTTAATTGCCCGATTTCGGAATTTGGCGCAAGAAACGGCCTAATGAATTGCCGCGACTGCGTCACAAATCGCTCCCACAACCACATGCCATACTCGGTGCAAGCATTTTGACAGTGACGCAATAATTGACGTTCTCCTTCTAATACTTGTTGACTGTGACATTGTTACAATTCGCGGAAGTATGGAAGATTATTAGATTTTTTTAGGTGATTTCTCGGAGTGTTGGCAATTTCTGTTAACCGAAAATGCCTAATAAATATTGTGAGGGCAAAAAACGGCTTATTTTGCTCATATTTTCAACACCGTCGTTAAGATCTTCTAGGAGTTCCTCATTTTTTTTCCAAAATTTAACTGCACAATTGAGACAAATTAATAACGAAACTGAAAAAGTCAAT